TTGAGGCTCCACGGGGCCGAGACCCTCTCCCCAAGCTGGACTCTCTGGGGACGGTCCTCCAAGAAGGAACGGAGCCAGGACAATGCCAGGCCACCTATTCCCAACTCGGAGAGCCTCCCCAGGAGGATACCGTGGTCAATGGTATCAAAGGCCGCTGAGATGTCGAGGAGGACCAACAGGGACACTTTACCCCTGTCGGCCTCCCTCAGTAGGTCATCACACAGGGCGACCAAAGCCGTTTCTGTGCCGCGGCGCGGCCTGAAGCCCGACTGGAATGGATCCAGGGCATCTGTTTCTTCCAAGAGCGCCTGAAGCTGGTCGGCCACCACCCTCTCGACTACCTTGCTAAGGAAGGAAACATTGGCGACGGGCCTGTAGTTGCCAATTTCGTCCGCCGCCAAACTAGGTTTCTTCCTAATGGGCCTAATGAGTGTGTCCTTCAGGGCAGATGGAAATCTGCCCTCAAGGAGAGACCCATTTATAATAGCCGTGGCCCACTCCGTTGTTAACGGCCTGGCCGCTTTGATTAGCCAGGCCGGGCAAGGGTCCTGCATCCAGTTTTTCTTTTCCTTTGGAAAGAAGAGCTCTCACTTCTCAATATGGAGAGGTTTAATTTCACGGGGTTGGCTATTTTAATGGCTCACTTAAATGTGTCATTCCGTTGATAGCAGTGTTGTGTTGCATGATTAGTCTTTGTGGGACATGTTATGGATTGATTTCTAGGGGCAGGGCAACAATGCAGTAAAGTGGAAATCTAGGGTGGCTTGCTGGTGGGTTGTCGTCCTACCCATCAGGTGGGGGGGGGAAAGAGGAAATGCCCCGTTTGTTTGTACAATAAACTAAAATCCAGACCTCATTCATATGGTTTATCAGTGAGAGCAGGATGCAGTTCTCCCAGCAGAGCATATGTTTGAGGGAAATTGCTGGATAAAGTCTATGACAGAAATGGAGCAATGTACAATAGCTGGATGGTAAAATAGTTAACCTAAGTCTTGATGGGTGGAGTAATGTCCACAATCAAAGATTTTTGTGGTTTTGTAAGAAGAGGAGATGGCATACTGACAGGGTTGTTAATTTCCTTGCCCCCCTTCTCGCATTCATCCTCGTGTTTCCCTGAAAATAAGACAGTGTCTTCTATTAATTTTTCTCCAAAAATGCATTAGGGCTTATTTTCAGGGGATGTTTTTTTTTTTTTATGTGCAACTACCTACATTTATTCAAATACAGTCCTGTCTTCTTATGGTTTCTGCACAAAGGTAGAGGGCTATTTATTTATTTTTTATTTATACCCCGCCTATCTGGACTACCAGTCCACTCTAGGCAGCTATTTTTCAATTAAGTAGATCTCATTTTTGGGGTAGGGCTTATATTACGAGCATCCTGAAAAATCCTACTAGGGCTTATTTTCAGGTTAGGTCTTATTTTCAAGTAAACAGGGTATATGTTACCACTAGATGGGGTGCCTTTAGGCTGGAGGCAGCTGAATTGTGCTCTATGAGCTGCATCTGGCCTCCAGAGTCCTCCTTAAGGTTTTGATCATTAGTGTCAAAGAGAACCAGTACTTAATCTGGTGCCTTAGACCACTGGTTCTTAACCTTGGGTTACTCAGGAGTTTTGGACTGCAACTCCCAGAAGCCTTCACCACCAACTGTGCTGGCTGGGGTTTCTGGGAGTTGCAGTTCAAAAACATCCGAGTAACAAAGGTTAAGAACCACTGCCTTAGACCAGTGGTCCCCAACCTTGGGCCTCCAAATGTTCTTGGACTACAACTGCAAGGAACCTTCAGCACCACCTCTGCTGGCCAGGATTTCTGGGAGTTGAAGTCCAAGAACATTTGGAGGCCCAAGGTTGGGCAAATCACCTCCTCACAATGGCAAGCCCACTTCTCAGCTCTTTATAGTCCTACCATTTCTGTGACTAAACCAGAACCACCCTTTGGTATGGCTCCGCTCCCTCTCTCTTTTTGCCTGGACTGGGACCCAGTCACTCCAGATGAAAGAAATGATTTGATCAGCTCTTTGCCCAGTAGCAAAGCTCAGATATGCTCCCAGGAGAATTGTTTAAGTCAAATACCACCTGGTGGAGTGCAGTGCTTGCTATAATGTTCACATACATAAATGAGCATGGGAAAATACCCCAAGGTTGGGGTGCAAGTATAATAATCCCTACTCACAAAAGAGGCTCTAAAGCTGACCCAAACAATTTTAGACCAATCAGTCTGCTTAATGTAGTCTCTAAACTGTACTCATAATATTTACTGGGCAAATTAGAAGGTTGGGCTGTTGAAAATTCAGTAATAGTAGAAGAACAGGCAGGGTTCCGAAAGGGAAAATCAACTTTAGACCAATCTTGTCCAGTAGCCAAGGCAAGGAGGCAGTCACGAAATCAACAAAATCAGGGAGCTGGACAGGGGACAGATTGCATATGTCTTAAGTGTGGAAGAGATTGTCACTCTCGAACTGGCTTTCTCAGCCACACTAGACACTGTTCCAAGTCCTCCATCCAGAGCACGATACCATAGTCTCTCCAGACTGAAGGATCCCTAACCTAACTCTCAATTAGGCAGGAAGGAGCCGCCCAGAGTGGTAGAACATACCAGATGGGCGGGGTATAATTCAAATAAATAATAATATGTTGCCTTTGTGGATTTCAGTTCAGCCTTCGACCTCGTAGATTGAGTCCATCTGTGGCAAAAACTTTCTGCCACCAATATAGATAGGAGGTTGTAGTTTTTAATTCAGATGCTTCACTCTAACACCAGCTTCAGGATGATCCTTGCAGCAAATGGCCTGTTGTCTCAGTCAATTCAAACAGAAAGAGGAGTCTGTCAGGGAAGCCTATTGGTCCCTTTCCTCGTTAATTTCTATATTAACAACATAATAACAAGAATTGAGCAGTCTGACATTTTTCCCACGCACAATTAGGGATGTCAAGCTTTCAGTCCTTCTATATGCAGATGATATTGTAATGGTCTCTACAACATTAGTTGGTCTGCGAAGACTCTTGACTAATTTGAGCAAATTCTGTGCAAGAGAACACCTGACCATCAATTACACCCAAACTAAAGTTGTAGTTTTTGGAAAGAAGAGGAAATTCCATACACAGAAGCTTGATGGCAAACCGATCGAGCAGCTATGCAATTTTAGATATCTTGGCCTTTGTTTCAATGCCCATGTGAAAGCAATGAATCTGAAAGCTTCTCAGTCCTCTCAGTTTCTTTTGTGGTTTACCAAAACCCATGGTGGGAGATTGGTGGCACCTGCAGTTGAGGTGTTTGCCATGAAAATAGTACCCCAAATAATATATGGCGCAGAGCTATGGGGATACACAAAGACTCACACTGAAGAAGTGATCCATAATTCTTATTTGATCTCCTCTAACTGTCCCCCACAGCACACCTTCTGCATATCTAAGGGCCAAAGTAGGACTGATTCCAATTGAAATACATTCTCATATTGCGCCAGCCATGTATTGGCTGAAATTGGCCAGCATGGATGACTCTCGCCTTCCTAAGAAGTGCTACACAGAACAGCTTGAGAATCCAATCCTGGGTGAATTTAGTTAGACCCATGTTGCAGAACTATGGGATTGACACAGATTCTCTTTCTACCTTTTCAAAATAATCGTCGCTATGCAAAAACATCGCTAAATGGAACGGAAAACCATTAAAACTTAGTTTAATGCGTTCCTATGGGGCCTTAAACTCACAGTTCTGCGACGTTCCTCCATAGTGCCGCCATTTTCGCGCCGTCGGTAAGCGAGGGCAGGGCGCGAAAATGGTTACGGCGGCCATTTTGGATGTCCGGCGGCCATTTTGGAATAGCCAAACAGCTGTTAAAAAAACATCGCAATGCGAAGATCGGTAAGCAAAACGCTTACCGATCGTTGCAATGCAATTTTTGCCCTATCTAAACATCGCAATTGCGACATCGCTATGCAGATTCGTGATTAAATGGTGCGCTTGTTAAGCGAGGCACCACTGTATCTGTTAAATATCGGTGCAGTATATATGCTGTTAAACCAAAATTCATGCAGGCCAACATTTATAGGCATATTTTTATGATATTTTTCTGATATGCCTTGTACTGTATGCATGAGACTTTGATAGTCTGCTTCTGAGCACAGGATTGTGGGGATGGGGGGTAACATCATCTTCTAGACCCTCCTAATTCTGCTCCTTCTCTGTGTCCCTTTCCAGGCTCCTCCTCACACTCCCTGCAGTATTTCTACACTGCTGTGTCTGAACCCAACCAGGGGCTGCCCCAGTTCATCACAGTGGGGTACGTGGATGACCAGCTCTTCATCCAGTATGACAGCGTCGCAAGAAGGACACAGCCTCGGACGCCCTGGATCAAGAAGGTGGAGGAATTTGACCCCCAGTATTGGGACAAGCAGACCCAGACATTCCGGAACGCTGAGCAGGCATTCAGAGACAACCTGGAGATCCTATGGCATTACTACAACCAGAGTGGAGGTGAGTGGAAGGCAGGAGGGGGGAGCAGTTCTCCTCCCGGGGTTGGTGTTGGGAGAAGGAAGGACATGGAGGGAAGGCCCACCCAGGGCAGGCACCCCTTTTCCCTCCAGTTGGCTCGACATTGATTGGGGGAGGGAAGAGGAAGAGAAGCCCCACTCCGGAGAAAAGAGAAAGAGGTGAGTCAAAGTGGAATCAAAACAACAGCAATGATAGCCGAAGGGAAAGCAACAAGAGGGCTGAGCTGCTCCTCTCGGGATGGCAAGGAGGGGAGGAAAGCAGACGGGCCATTCAGGGACAGGCAGCCTGTTGGGAAATCGGGTGGGAAGCCTCTGAAGTGGAACATTGTCTGATTTTGGGGTGGCAGGGGGTCACAGGGAGACCAAAGACAGGCGTCCTTGGATCCAGCTGTGGATTTTCATTCACTTCCCTTTTGGGACAATACAGGTTTACCTCAGCAAAGCACTCATTGGAGGTGAATTTGTATTGTTAG